TTTTTTCTGCAGATAAAAACTACTTCATAATAAGAAGAATGATATCTTTTTTTAAAAGAAAATCTATAGTCTGCATAGAGTACTATAGAAGATCATAAAATTGTATGTCATTCGTTCACTTTAAGAACACTTACATAAAGGAAAGATAATTTTTCCTTGAATATTGTCTTATTATTTACAGTCTTTTTCTCATCATTATATTTTATAGCTAACCAAAGATTCTTATAAAATTAGAAACTGAGATATTAGCTGAGTACATTGTACTATTCTAAATGTACCAGTATTCATAAATTGTTCGAAGACATGACCGACATGATTCCATCCGTCATCTCATTACATGTGCTCTTGTTGATGAATCTTTTCATTGCTTACACTTTAACAACAAAAGATATGAATGGTTTTTAAACATAAGTGTGATCGAAATTATATCTTAATATATAACTGACAGAACATTATTATTTGAAGTATGGGTTGTATCTATGAACTTTTCCATGTTTTATTGATACATGTTTTAATTATTCGCTTGGAAAGTGTAAGTGTGACTGCGGATGAATATGGGTTCCAAGCAAGGCCATATTTATTCTACATCACACTTTGATCTTTTACCATTTCTCTGACGACTTATCTGTATAAAATAATACTAGATAGCATTCTAGTTCCATGCGATTGCCAATACTGATGTGGAGCTACGAACATCGATCATCAAAATACTTGATTTATCGTTTTATTATCTATATGATTCATTATTTATAGTCAGGTTTTCTTGTAGTTGGAATGAACAAAATCAGCTGATCGAATAGAGTGGTGTCTAACTGTTTATGCTATCTTCATTATAATTATCTGAAAGCTTGAAAAACGACAACATCTGCAAAAATCACTATCAGAAAACTTTGACAAATAAAATCAAATCTTCTAGTACATTCTGTACTGTATCCCACGTGATTGAGCTAATCGAGATTTAGTTATGTTTTATATCCTCAAAAAGATTATATTATAGAATGTTTTCTATGAAAACAATCCATTCATGTGCTCATATATTTAGCCAATCTATATGAAAAATTAAGCTATTCTAGTTCTCTGCTGAATGGTGTATGAATATATGAGAAACGATTATTTCTTGCCTTTCTTTACAAAAGGATATGATTGATGTCGCATACCATTAATGAACTCTCATGACGAATATCACTCAATTCTCTGCTATATTGAATTTCATATCAATCGAGAGATCTAAATAGTAGCTACCAAAATAATGCTAAGAAATTCACGAAAAAGAAATCAGAGGGTATGTTTCTTTTTCGAAATGTGTGTGCGTGAGGGTGAGGTGTGGCTATAGGTATGGGTGTAAAGATATAGGTGCGTATGTTAGTGGGACTATGGGTCTAAGTGTAGATGTTTTCATCGTCACACTGGCCATTCACTTGGTTATCAGGATGGGTGTGGGTGGGTGTGCCCGTAGATATGGATGTCAGTTTGGATGTGTCTATTCTTCAGGTTTATTCCAACGCCTACACTCACACTCACACCCAGACCCTCTTCTATAAAACCCTGGTGGGGATCAAAGACATACTGCTGTTATGAAAAAGATTCACTCGAAATTGATAAAATATCAAAAAAAAAGCAGTGGAATATATTGATGCATGTCAAAGTATCTTCTTGTCAGATGAAGCTCTCTCTTTTCCTCTATGAAATCATATATTTCGATCAATTACCATTAATTTACTGATAGGATTCGAGACTTTTCAATCGCCTTTTATTATATTCAAAAATTACACGAATATGATATAGAAAAAGAAATCTTTTGTAGAACTTTAAAAGATCTACGTTAAAAAAAAATAGAAGAGGCAGATCAAACAATTTGACTCAGTCATCTATAGATAATCAGATCAAAGTGAAGGATTTTTAACTCTCCTAACTTTCTTCTCAACCGATGATTGACTTAAAAGATATCGATATCAAATGCTATCAAAATTTGATGGTTTTTTTAACCAAAAAGTGCACAACATTGTTACCTATATTCATCGTAGAAATATAGTACATATAAAACAAGAAGTAAAATGTCTGATGTTTGTGATGTTTTTGAATGAACTATTAGTGTGCCAATGACTATAGCTATACTTATAATGATAGAGAATACAGAAACAGGTTTGGTACTTGAATTTAACATTGACCAAAGACGCTAGTTCCTTGAAAAGAATAACAACAATTGTATTCGATATCAAAAGAAAAAGGCATACGTAGTCGGTGGAACCATGAATCCTCTTAAATAGACAACGGTTGACGAAATTAAATTTATCATCCATTGGAATCATCTCAATCTACGACGAAGCAGTAGTTAAAAAAGAACCAATCTTTGATATCAGAGCATAAGTGTATTGATAAAAATCATGATTTTTCAGAAGAATTGGAACAGTTTGTTCAAGATTTTTATCGATAAATTTACTAGTGATGAAAAAATTTGCGCACACATACTGCTATAATTCAAATGTTTCTTTGACTAGCGAATACTTCAGTCGGAGTTAACAAACATGTTTTTGTTTTCAATGCATAGTTTTTAAAACAACCAATGACATAACTATTAACTACTTCTACCAGCGTTCTGCAAGATTTCAGCATCATCATCATTTTAAGGATCGTGACTTTGCAAAATCCTCTTTTTTTTTTGAAGAGCTTTTGGGAAATTTATATTCAAAATATTCAAGCGTAAGAAATTTTTTTTTTTTTTTGGCGAGAAATACAAGATTTTCTTAAGGTTAATTAAAGAACAGAGTGAATATTTGTGATATAAGTCAGTTTCAATTTTATCTAAATTTGCACTTATTCAAAAGAAATATATTTATTTAAGATTCGGAGACTTAACTGATAATATCTAGAGTTGCTGAATTTCGTCGATGGCGAATGTCCACGAAAATGTGACTTCAGGGAATTACATATTGGAGAATGTCATTTTGGCGGAAATCGAATAACCTTATATTTCAATAAGACAAAGTTAGCTAGAAAAATGCAGATGAGATTGATTGATCTATTCAAAAGAGGGAGATAATTAACCGTAACTAACATGTCTCTAGGGAAAAAAGATGAAGAATACAATAACTTATGTTACTTGATGAGAATTAAAGTCCGACTATAAATTCAATCATTTTACTTACTTAAACGCAGTTCTGATCGGATTTAGAATGGCTAGAATCAGTTGGAACAGAAAACAATATTTATTTTAAACTTTTTCTATCTAAACCATGATTTAATAGACAATAGAGTGTGTGAATTTGTAGATGAACCGGAAACTCACATCTTACTGCATATACCTCTGTTTAAATTAAATTTTACGGAAAAAAATTTCTTTATTTTGTTTCGTCACATGTGTGCAAAGTTTACTGTTTCAACGACAAAAAAAAATATTTGAAGCAAAGTTACGTAAGTTAGAACACAAAATTTAAATCACGAAAGTAGATTATGGGAAAAAAGTTTTGAAGAATACGACCATCTTTCGTGTCATCAGCTTGTTCATAAGCTACTAATCGTCTCTCCTATTCTCAGTAATGAAAATAGAACAAGATTCGGCATCATGCTATTCATTGGGACAACGGCATCTACCATAAACAGATATTAGTAATTTTGGAAAAATGAGTAAATATAGACAAGCACGTAAAACAAAAAAATGATTAGCTAAGATATAATCATTTTTTGTAAAGTTGTGATGTTATATGCGATTATCAAACGATGTTTCATGGAGTATTTTGCAACAAGGATTATGGGCAATCAATTTACATTTATAAAAATTTACCAAATCCAGAAATTGGTTTTTGTACATAAAAATCATAATAATAATATTTTGATTAAAAATAATGATGAATTGCTTTTTACATTAAAATATTCAATTTTTTTTCTTTATTATAGTGCGAGACTTTTTGAATTTATCATTATTAACGGATTTTCAGAAAGCAGTTCAATATGATGAAGTATGGTAGATGCTTTTACATATAATGTACTAAACCAAAACGATTAAAAGAGAACGTTGATGTGGTTAAACAGAATATCAACATCTATACCCACACTCTTCTTGATATTATTAGGGTGGGTGTGACATCATCAACCAGATTTAGACTATTCTAAAACATTTAAAAGTCTTCCTTGAAACTTCAATGCCTGAAATATGTTTGTAAATACTTTAAATAATATGTAGCCGTTATGGGATCAATATAAAAAAGGTAAACTGTTCCTATTCTAACTTTAATGGATACATGTAACCGACTTATTTACTAGTTAAATCAATGGTTGAAATCATAATAAAACATACAATATGAAATACAAATCAACAAACCAAACCGAAATTAGAGCACAAATGCACAAAATAAATGAAACTGATGGTTTTCGTGGAAATTGATTATCTTTTGCAAACAACAATAATGTTCACTAGAGATATTTTATTTAACCTATTTTGTATTAGTATATGTAGCTAAAATTTAATAATAATCTATTCTGATTGATTTAGAAAATTTAGATATGATTGTTATAACAGAGACCGACTCTAGTAAAAAAGTAAATAAATGAATTCTTGTTGATATGTTTTCATTTTATGAATCGATATTTTTAGTCTTTATTGAGGGTGTGGGTAAGAGAGAGTATATGATCCATCAACACATCCAAACAACATCTACACCCACACTAAGACCATGATAAGATCGTATTTTGAATGTGTGCAAGTAAATCAGCATATAATTTTTTTGGATTCGATTCATTTATGAATGCTTGTTTAAATTGACGTCGTTGTTCGATATTCGTTAACTAAAATAAGTAAAATAGATTTGTTTTGATACAATTAATATTTGGAGCTTTTCTTTTGTCTCTTTTATAATACTTGCAGATAATATTCTCGATCAGAAATAAGAAATAAACGATTGTCTAATTTTTTAAAATGAGCACTGAAACGTGATAACGTCAATAAAAACCTAAAAAGGTAAAAGATATACCATATTATCTATAGGAATTCATTTTGACATTTCATGGTGAAATTTATTGATTTTGTGATTTACAACTCGTTAGATAGAGCAAAGTGTTTTTACTCTAAAAACTGCTGCGTAATTTATTAATTTTTAATTGATCGTTATTCCTTCGGAAAAGAAACCTAGAAAGAATATTTAACCATAGGTCGAAAAAAATAGCTCATCAAACAGTCTAAATACGATTTCACTCTATTTTACTCATAAAAATTAATTCAAAAAAAAAACTCGTGCAATATTAATTCACTATTAAATCATCAGTATGAAATTTCAATATGAATTTTTTTTTCTTTAAAGATTAATATAAAGAACTAAGAAAAAAAATCAGCAACGATAAATGATTTAAGTAAATACTTACAATGCATCAGCAATTGTATGTGATGGAAAAGCTACCCCCTCCCCCCCGTTGAGAGGGACCGGCACAAAAAGATGACGCCATTAGGGGGGAGGGGGTCGTGAAAAAATGACAAGTGATGACATAGGGAGGGAGGGGGTCCAAAATTCAATAAAAAGTGATGACGTCATATGTGAACAGCCCCTTAGCTGATAATGGGTGTGGGGTGTGGGTGTGGTGGATGGGTGGGTGTAGGTGTGGGTGTGGGTGTGAGTGTATGGATTTAATTGTAGAAAGATGAACCCACACATCCACACCCAGACACCCACACCCACTCCCACCCACATCCACACTCACCTACACCCTTGCTGCAGAATTTTGAATAGGTACGCAAATTGTAAATAGCTACAGCAAATCTAAATACATGTGGGATATATGAAGAGTCACAGGAAATTTCAAGCGGCTAATATTAAGTAGGTCTGCGATCATGAAGTAGCTGTAGGAAACCATTAAGTAGCTGTTGGTTCATTAAGTAACTATAGAAGAGTATTAGATAGTTGTGTAGGTTGATTAAGTAGCTATAGGACCTATTAAGTAGCTATGAAAAACCATTCAGTATATATACAGGGTGTTCCAAAAGTCACTTAGGAAAAAAAATTAGAATATCTCCCTTACGGCTCGAACAAACAAGCTGGTTTTTATGTCAATGATAGAGGCATGTTCAAAGTTTATATTCATAAAAGCATGCTTAGAGAGACCTTTTGTTAAGTATATTGTTTTTTTTTGGATGTGGGTGTGGGTGGGTGTGTGGCTGGGTGATGTGGGTGTGAGTGAGTGAGAATAGACGATTCAAGCTCACACCCACACCCATACCCGCACCCCATACCCACACCCACACCACCTACACCCACACCCACCCCCACACCACCCACACACCCACACCCACATACACCCACACCCACACCCCCACACCTACACCTACACCACACCCACACCCAACTTTTCCGTGGCAATAAAATATTTTATTCTTTTATTTTGTATTGATATCATTCGTTAAGTATATTATTATGCTATTATGATAACCAAATTAACTATTATATATCAATATTGTCATTCGTATGATGTCAATAATAATTCAATTATTTTATTGAGTTTAACCTGTTCTTTGAAATCTTTATACAATTATTATACAAAAAAATTAATTTAGTTAAACGATTTATTAAAAGACAAATCAATTCAAAAAATGGATTGTTTAACAGATAATCTAGTTGTTTAATACCGATGGAAGTAAACTATCGGTAGTAAAAGTTTAGTGAAGTAGTCGTAAATTATTTTCAAAGTCTTACCTTCGACTTGTACTTTTTGAGACGCATTTGGAATGAAAACATGAGCTAGAAGTAAATAACTCACTCGTAAAATTATATCACCGAGCACAATTCTGTTGTCATTTATTATTCCAATATTCGTTATAAGTCGTATTACAACTATTAACGGTCGAAGTTATGGAAAGCTAAAAAAATAAAATGAAGTAATTAACGGAAGATATGATTTATCGTTACTTCATCGTTCATGTCAGATAGTTCTATTGTGTTTTGTAAAAATCAATACATTATTTAGAAAATCATTTTATATAAAATTCTATATTCTATTAGTCTTTGTTTTTGTTTTGTTTCTAGAAAGGACTTGATTTACAAGGAGAAAATGTACTTCGTTTCTATACAACCAATTGGAAACATTATCGAGTTTGTAGTAGAGTAACAGATGGTGTTTGTAAAAATTTAAATCGACATTGGCCACGGCAAGAATATTATTTAGAAAGAACAGATGTTGATGAACTTCTTACTGTAAGTTAATTAAATTGTTTATCTTTTTGAACTTAATTAAAAATTGAATATAAATTTAGATGGCAATGAAAATTTGGCAGTTAGTCTTTTTCCAACCATTGAATAGACAAGTTACTTCAGCATGTCTTCAATTAATCAAAGCTGAACGTCAAAATAAAGAAATTAACACACGATTAATTAGTGGAATTATAAAAAGTTATGGTAAAGATTAAATAAAATTTTGTTTTTTTATTCTTGAAAAATTATTTGAAAAATTTCAGTCGAACTTTGCTTCACCGAAAATTCATGTGTATCAATTACCAGTTATCAAATAACATCTCCAACATTGGCAATTTATAAAGAATATTTTGAAATACCATTTCTTCAAGATACAGAACAATTTTATCGACTTGAAGCAGCTAATTTTATTCGTGAGCATAATTCTGTTATTGAGTATCTCAAAAAGGTTTACTTTTGTTAAATATAAAAATAAAATATTTCAACAATATTTATAATAGGTAGCTCAACGTCTTGATGAAGAAAAGCATCGTGTACAGTCATATTTACGTTCATCAACATTAGAACCATTAATTAAAAAAGTTGAAGAAGTCCTTATTCGTGATCAACTTGAAGCTATTTATACTGGAGAAAAAGCACTTTTACCTGACGAAAAATATTCAGGTAGATAGATAAAAATTTAATTTCGGAAACTTCATATGATTGACATATTTGTTTGTGTTGTTATTCTTGTATAAGTCTTAATTTTGTTATAAAATGATTTATTTGTTTAATTTTTTAATAGATTTGGCACTTCTATTTAAATTAGTTTGTCGAGTACCAAATGCAACAGTTGAAGGGAAAAAAATTGTTGAAGATCTTATCCGTCAAATGGGTATTGATGCTATCTAACGAGTTAGTGCCAATGCACTTAATATAAGAATAATTTTTTCATTCTATTTGATTATTATAATTATTTGTTAATTTGTTCAGGATCCAAAACTTTATGTTGAAACAATTCTTGAAATTCATACAAAATTCTTCCAACTTGTACAAGAAGCTTTTAGTAATGAACAAGATTTCACGGCTGCTCTTGACAAAGTACATCGAATTTTATTTTCTTTTTCTTGTTGATTCCCATATGATAACTACCATCGGTATAATGTGAGCTTTACCAGCTTTTTTTTTCGTTGAAAATGTTCCATCATGTTGTATTGTATGAAAACACGTGAATATTTTTGAGATCAGTTAAAATTGGTAGAATTGAGTTATTTTCGATCTACTCTAATAATGTTGATGCGTTGAAATTGTTTGTACTAGCAACAGAGTCTATATCAGTCTCGGTTATGCGATAAATTTTTGTTAGTAAAATATATTCTGAAACTGTTTTCTTCTCGATTAATTTGAATTTGAATAGAAAAATCTCTCTTCAATAGTTTATTACTGCAACTGAAAGTTGTAAGTGCTACCGACAGTTCTTATAAATACCACAGTATATCAGTACTAGTGCAAATAAAGGTATAATATGAGTTGTTATCTTATATGTATATTTTAGACTTGTGGTAAATTTATTAATAACAATGCAGTAACAACAGCTACTGGTAATACGACAAAATCACATGAATTATTAGCTCGTTATTGTGATGCACTCCTACGAAAAGGGTTTGTTTAAATTAGATATTTATTATTAAAATATAAATCAATTTAAATTTTTTTTTAGAAGTAAAGCTGTAGAAGAGACAGATCTCGAAGAAAAATTCAATCAAATTATGGTATTATATTTTAGTTAATTTATTTTTTCTAATTTGTTTTTTTCTCTCTCTCACGTGGTTTTTAATTATGTTGAAGATAAAGATGTTTTTCAAAAATTTTATGGTAAAATGTTAGCCAAACGCTTAGTAGGTCAACTAAGTGGACTTGATGATTATGAAGAATCAATGATTTCAAAATTAAAAGTAAATATTGATTATAACAAATCTATATTAAATATCTATTTTAGCAAGCATGTGGTTTTAAATATACATCAAAATTAGAACGAATGTTTCAAGATATTGGTGTTAGTAAAAGTTTAATTGACCAATATCGAACATATTGTGAAAAGCTTAGACTTGATGATATTGGTATGAATAGTATAAATAACTTGAATCTTATATAATATTTTGTTTTTTTTCTCATTTAGTTGATTTTTCTGTTATGGTTCTCAGTTCAAATTCATGGTCGTTTTCTGCGCCACCAAATTTTGTTTTACCAGTTGAAGTAAGAGTTATTTTCATTGTTGTTTTGTTTTTGATAATTTTTTAATTAAACTTTTAGCTTAAAACAACATTTGTGAGTTTTACTAAGTTTTATACTCAACAACGTAATGGTCGTAAATTAACATGGCTTCATCAATATTCAAAAGGAGATTTACAAACATTATATACTAAACCAAAATGTATTTTATATCTAAGTATTGATTTAGTCTATGAAATAATTTTCTTTG